TCACGGGAGGGGAGACCGAGAATGAGATTGTGAACCCTAATGTTAGCGAGCCTAGGGTAGAACTTGGGCAGTTCGGCTTGGGCCGAAAGCTTGGGGGTATGTTGTGCGGGTTGGGCTGGGGATTGCGGGTTGTTATGGGCCCAACCCGCAATCCGCCCCAAACACTTCGGGCCAGAGGTATAATGAGCCGCAAATTTAAAAATAATGTTGCGGGTTACTTTTTTTGGCTTGGGTTGGGGCGGGGTGGGTTGGGTTTGCGGGTTGTTCGGGTTTATGAACAGCCCTAATTGTAGGCGACATTCTTCGTATTCTAACTTGGTATCACCTCGGTGGCCAAATCCCATGCGTTACACTCCTCTCTTCGACCGGGGGCACAACAACTAGCCCTAAGACGGTGCCCTAATCTAGCCCCCATAGGAGAAGAAGGTGATGCTTCGTACAAAACACAAATGATTGAGAGAGAGGCTCCTTATTACAAGTCCGTTTAGTTCTCTGATTTAAGGTGAGATACATTTTTATGTGAGAATTTTTTACTGTAACAAAAAAATAAAATATGACTGTTTCTTAAAGTTTTTTTACTGTAATAAAACTCGAATTGATAAAATAAACGAAACCTACATTCTTCTAATTTACTTGTGTAACTATTGCATGTTATATAAATATATATATATATATATATAAAAGAGAGTAAACAAAAAAAACAAAAGCAAAATAAAGACAAAACAAAAGCACTCTGCTATCACTTATTCGTTTAACCTTTTTTTTTCAATATTCAATTTTACCTTTTGCATCCAATCAAATTTGGCAAAGAGATTTAACCACTTCTTAAAAAATGAAAAAGAAAAATAGCTCTTATGCTTCAAGTGTAAAAGAGCTTAAACGACACCGTTGTGCATTCAGGCACACAAAATTTGGTCCTTTTATTCCACAAATAACTATAATTAATAATCATAAAAAAAATTTATAAATTCCTCCTCAACTTTATCAATTGTGTTAATATGTTCCTTATAGTACTATGAGATTCCGTTTGGTAGAAGAGATAGAGAGGAGGAGGATGGAGAGAGGTGGAACGATGGAGAATATGAGAAATTGAGAGAATTATGGTAATCCTTTTATGTTGTTTGGTATGCAGGAGAGAGAGTTAAAAAGATAAATAAATAAATGTTTGTTTAATTACTATATTGTCCTTTTTACCAATTTTATACTAAACTTTTTAAAGATCTAATAGTTTGTGTAAATTTTTAAAGGGAAGATTATATAGATCATTCTATTAGTGGAGGGATGTAAATTGGTGGGCCCAAATAGATAGAGTCTCAGTCTCCCTCTATCTCTCCTCTCTTTCTCCCTCTCCTCCCAACCAAACAAGAGATTGAACCTCTTCCTCCATCTCTCCCCCTCTACCCCTCTTCCTCCCTCATGTTAGCGTTTAGCCCTTCAAGAATAAATGTAACATGTATATTAGACATTTTGACTATTTAATAAAGATTTATTTATTTCATATATCAAGTGTTTTATTATCTCTACGTTCATATTAGTTGAATGTATGATAAATAAACCGGAAGTCTGAGATTGTTGTTCTAAATCTTTAGGTCGTGCATATAATGTGAAGAATATACAGAGGACATGAATCTAAAGATGATAGTCTAAATGTTAAGATATGCAATTGATGGAATAAAATTGGGCGTTTTATTCATGTTAAAATTGTTATGTTGTCTACTTCCTAACGGAGACGGCTCTTCTTAGTCATCGGAGGTGAGACTCTATGGGTAGAGACATTAATATAGTTTCTAGTGGTAGAATCTATATTGGATCAGGCCAAAGATGAATTATTTTAATTAATAATTCTGTTTGAATAAAACAATTCACTTTTAACTGTTCAAATATAAAAAGTATTTCTAGGTGCGAATACATGTTAATTGATTAAGTACTCTATCACGTAAACGTTACCAAAGGAATTTTAGATAATATTAATTGTTAATTGAAATTTTGGAAATATGTATGTTTCGTATAAGAGTATTTCTAGGTGCGAATACATGTTTTGTATGAGAGCAGTTCTGGGTTCTTCCTCGTCCAAAATTTTGATTACATTTTTCAAATTTCTATATTATTTTTGTTGTTTGTGTATCTGCTGTAATCTGGTTTTTGTAATTTCCAATTATTATATTTCTCTAGTTTGATTATCTATACATTTCGCCTAAAACAAACTCAATTTTTTTTTCTCCATATTCTTGTTCATTGTTATCCTCCCATCTTTAATTTATTACTACAAAGAGAAGAACATGTATGTCATTAGAGTTATTAATCAAGAAATTGTTTCAAAAAGTTTTAGCATTATCTTTTTGTAATTTATGATTACATGTGAGTCCCAATGAATATTGTTTATATATGCAATATTGGCTGCTCAAAAAAGAAGATTTCAGCATGTTTACTTGTATGTGAAAGCAAATACAACTGCCTTTTTTTTTTTTTTTTGGAAGAGGACAATTAGGCAAGTCAACTATATGAAAATAAATTAAGGATCCGTTTAGTTCGCTGATTCGAATTTTTAATTCGAGTTCAGATGTAATTTTATGTGAGAGCTTTTTACTGTAGTAAAAAAAATAGATATTATTATTTTTTAGAGTTTTTTACTGTAATAAAAATCAAATTTTAAACTCAAATCGATAAAATTAACGAGGGCTTTCAAAAGAAGGGAGAAAAAACTACTATATGCACAAATAAGGGAAAAACAAATTAATTGAAGACGACTAAATTCAATGCTAGATGATGGAGCTGTGCAAATAGGTAATGACGCGGCGATAATGAATTAATGCCATTCAAATTTGAATTAATGCTAAGAAACCAGTGTACATATATCATAGGTTAACCAATAATGCCATTTTTTACTAACAAAAAAAAAAAGGAATAGCATATTTGGTACTTTATTCGGTAAATTATAGCATTTTTTAAAAAAATAGTAAATTATAGCATAATTTGATATTTTAAGTTTTAAATATTATTAAAAATATAAAAATACCTCTAAATCTCATTCTTGTTACTCTCTCTTTTTCTCTCGAGTCAAGTCCACCATGGTCGGCGACCGGCGGCCATCGTTGGTGACCAACTTCGACGGTTGGTAAATACCATATTTATCGGTAAATATTAAATTTATTAATAAATATCATATTTATTGATAAATACAATATTTATTATATTTATCTGAAAATTTAACGACCGGTAAATATTATATTTATTAATAATTATTGTATTTATCGGTATATACCACACTTATCATATTCATCTGAAAATTTAATGACGGGCTCTGACAATTAATAAATACTGTATTTATCGATAAATATCATACACATTATATTTATTTGAAAATCTAACTATTTGTAACTGTTAAATACTATTTTTACTCATAAATATGATATTTACTGAATTGAGAATTAGATTAGTAGTAAAAACAATATTTACCAAATTGACAAAAATCACAGATCTCAAATTTACACAAAAAAAATCCACCGAAACCTCAGATCTTAAAAACTACAAAAATCACAAAAAAGAAAAAAAAAATCCAAACTCAGATCTCAAATATCACAAAAATCAATGAAAAAAACTCAGATTTCAGATCCGCAACAAGCATCAAATCGGCGTTCGCCCGATATGTGCTATTCCTTCCCGGATAAAGCCATGGAGAACCCAATGAGATCTTCGTCGCTGGTCGCGGCTTCAATTTCACAGCTCTAAGATCTGGTGCGACAGCGACTTATCAAAATTTAATCCGCGACGGCGACTGCCTCGTCCGATCTTAAATCCTGCACATAATGATTGGAAAAACTGTTCAAACATAAAAAATGTTTTTCCATTGACTTTCTTGTGGTTGGAAGGAGATCAAGAAACTAAGCAAGAGATTGAACGATATGTGCCCACTTGCTCTCCGATCGTCGGAAAGAGAATAGTAGAGAAAGACAGTTGATTGAGGTTCTTCTGGTGTCTATTCCATTCGTTGCAGTCACTTTCAAGATTCAACGGTTCGTCTCCTAAAGGTATGATGTACATCTTTTGTATTTATGATATATAACATCATGAACATGACTCGACTTTGTTTTGTTTAATGCAAATTTTAAAATTCCACTGTGCAACTTTTTGCCATTTTTTCTAACACCTCCACCTGTCCATCCTACCAAACATACTCTAAAATGTGCATGTTGTGCCCCTTAAACTATAAAACGTCTACAAATTTCCCCCTCACCCTTATTCCGTCAATATTTCGAATGAAAGTGTTGATGTGGCAAATTTTTTATTTTTTTAATAGTTTCCCATAGTACTTAAATTCTCAGGAAAGTAAATAACACCTTATTGGGTGTTATTCACGTTACTCAAAAATAAGGTAAAGTGAATCTCATTGGATTTACTTTTCTAGGAATGTGAAAATCACAATTTTTGCACCAAACATGAGAATATGAGAAGATTCTCATTCTCATTCTAAAATTACCCCATACCAAACACCTCTAAAAAAATAATATCATAATTTCCATATCCCTGTATAGTCCTTAAGAGCCACGATATCTTGGGCACTTTGCAAGAACACCACAAATTTTAAGCTTAAATTTACATGTGCCAGCAAACACAAACTATTATAGAGAATGCCATTGTCAAAAATACTTAAAAGTCATAAAATCCATAAAAATCACAAAAATATACATGAAAACTCACAGCACTCACAAAATCTAAAGACATTAAATGAAATGCATAAAAGTACAAGTATAATTTTACTCAGTACACAAAATTCAAATAATATCACTGTATAATAATTTTAATATCATAACAAAAATTAATCTAACCTTAAAAATCATGACATATTGTCTAGTTTCTATTTTTCTCCCAAAAAAAAATCCCCTCTTCTTCCCAAAAAAAAAAAAAAAAATTCCCCCAAAAAAAAACCCCCCCTTCTTCCCAAAAAAAAAAAAAAAAAAAAAAACTCTCTCCCTCCTTCTACTTCGGTTTTCTTCTTCTCATCACCTTCACATCCGTGGCATGTCCTCTCTGACCGCTCCAGAAGTTTTCTGTGACTTTTCTCTTTCGCCAAACGATAATTCCACCACTCCCACTCCCTTGGTCAGTTAAAAGTTTGTCTCAGATCCTCGTTTAAGTGCCTTTGAAAATGCTGCCAGTTTGGTTCATGCATAGAATATGTTTGAGAGACGCGCCGGCTCGGAATTTAATGATGGTCGGATTTTTCTTAGTTGGGTTTTCTTGATTTAGTGTTATGCATCTTTTGATGAAAATGAGAACCCGTCATAATCAAACTAGAGCTTTTCTTACTCTTTTCTCACTTTTCCCTCCAAAACCACCACCTCAAAGTCTCAAACTTGGCCCTTGTTTATTGCCTTATGAATACCTTCAAATATTCACATTTCAAAACCGTTGGGCTCTGTAACTCCGCCATTAGAGAAGCTGTCAATCATGGCCATTCCCATAAAGCCCTCCTTCTCTTTCGACAAATGAAACAAAATGGTCTCCAACCCGACAACTTCACCTTTCCCTTCGTCGCCAAAGCGTGTTCCAAGCTTTCCAATCTCAGATTCTCCCAAATTATTCACACCCATGTCGTCAAATCCCCGGTTTGTTCTGATGTGTTTGTGCAAACGGCCGTGGTTGATATGTACTTGAAGTGCGATCGCTTAAGCGATGCGCACGGCGTGTTTGAGAAAATGCCCGCAAGAGATGTGGCTGCTTGGAATTCGATGATAGTGGGATTGGCTCAGTTGGGTTTTACCAATAGAGTTTTCTGTCTATTTCACCGAATGAGGCTTGCAGGGATTCAGCTGGATTCGATCACGATCATGGGGCTGACTCAAGCGATAACTTCACACTCGAAGAATGTAGAATTGTTGAAAGCAATTCATTCACTCGGAATTCGAATTGGATTAGAAGCTGATATTTCCGTAGCGAACACTTGGATCAGTGCCTATGCGAAATGCAGCGATTTGGATTCAGCCAAGGTTGTCTTTGATGGGATTGACTTGGATGTGAGGACTGTTGTCTCCTGGAATTCAATGATAGCAGCATACTCAAACTTTGAGAAATCTATTGATGCACTAAATTGCTATAAGAGGATGCTGGTTGACGGATATAGACCCGATTCAAGCACTATTTTAGGCTTATTGTCGTCATGTGCACAACCGAAGGCACTGCTTCAGGGCGCTTCGGTTCATTGTCATGGGATTCAACTTGGCTGTGATTCTGACATTGCAGTGGCTAACACTCTGATATCTATGTACTCCAGGTGTGGCGATATTTTTGCCGCAAGGCTTTTATTTGATTGTGTGTCTTGTAGAACTTGTGTGACGTGGAATGTTATGATTAGCGGCTATGCTGATAAAGGGGATTTAGATGAGGCATTGGAGTTGTTTGATGCTATGGAAACCGCAGGTGAGAAGCCTGATTTGGTTACTATGCTTTCTGTTATCTCGGGATGTAGCCAAACAGGATCACTAGAGGTTGGTAAGTGGATTAATGGCTATGCCTTTTCAAATGGATTAAGAGACAACACCATAATTTGTAATGCATTAATTGACATGTATGCAAAATGTGGAAGTATGAACGATGCTCGCAAACTCTTCTATGCCTTGCCAGAAAAAACTGTTGTCTCATGGACAACAATAATTTCAGGGTGTGCTTTAAATGGAGAAGTAAAAGAAGCATTGAATCTTTTCAACAGGATGCTCGAGTCGGGATTGAAACCAAACCACGTCACGTTTCTTGCCGTTCTTCAAGCTTGCGCTCACGCAGGTCTCCTTGAGAAAGGATTGGAGTGCTTTGATGTGATGACAAAAGTGTTCCGTATTAATCCTTGCTTAGACCATTATTCCTGCGTTGTGGATCTTCTCGGGCGCAAGGGAAAGATAAGAGAAGCATTCGAGCTACTTGAAAATATGCCTTTGAAACCTGATGCTGGCGTATGGAGTTCATTGCTTAGTGCTTGCAAGATTCACCAAAACATAGAAATCGCCGAGTATGTGTCTTGTCATCTCTTTGAGCTGGATCCCTTGGCTGCAGTTCCATACGTTGAGATGGCAAACATATACGCTTCAGATGGAAAGTGGGACGGAGTTGCAGCAATAAGAAAAATGATGAAATGTAACAGTGTGAAGAAATCTGCAGGTAAAAGCATTGTCCAAGTTAATGGGAAGCGTCATGTTTTTGCAGTTGAAGATAGGGGTCATTCTGAAAGTTTGTGTATATATGAAATGTTGGATAGTTTGATGTTGCTGCTGAAAGAAGGAGACTTATCAGAATCAGAGTTAACTCTGGAACATGAATTAGCATGAAGCTGTTGCAAGATTAGTGAGGAAATATGGAAAGTACAAAATAATAAGATGAAACACCTAAAATCAATTCAGAAAAATAAGCTGAGGAAATAATATATTATTCTCAGCTATCTCACACATTCTGGATTGACAATCAATTTTAGGATCGTCGGATAAAAGTATTCAATTGAACCAAATAAGATAAGAAATCTGAATATACGAGACATTTTGCACCGTGCTCCATGTTGGATGCTTAATTACCTTCTTTTTTTTTTCGCGTATGTGTTGAGATAATCCTACAAGATAACAAAAATCCAATGAAATATCAAAAATCATATATATATATATATATATGAGGGGTTTTAATGGCTACGTTTTTATTGGTAATTATCATTAAAAATAAAAATTTAATGTCGTGACATGATAATAATCTAATTTTATTAATTATCATAATCTTTTTAGTCAGTTATCAAATTTAATACAATCGTCGAATCAATATCTTACGATTAAAATAACGATATTCATCACGAGTAAATAATGGAATAACTGTTAAAACATCCATATACAAATAGTGTTATTTTTTAATGGCATAATTGAAAATTTCCAAAAATGAGAAATTATAGCCAGCAGCCTTGTATGTTTATGGGAGTAAGCTACAATTGTTAGTAAATAATATTTATAATTTTAAAAGAAGATTTGTAAGGGTAAAAATGAGTTGAAAAACTAAAATATAACAAATATTAGGTAAATAAAAATTATAATAGCCGATAAAAATATAAGAATAAGTTCCAGATTTATAAAATTTAGTCATATGGGGTAAATCCGAGTGAATTTTAAATTTATCAAAAATGACCATACGTCAAATAATGATCAGGGGGTTTACTGAAATGGGTCACGGGATAAATATGTTATTTTTCATATAAATCTTATATTTATTAAATTGTGGCATGAGACCATCCTCAATATAAATGTTAATACTAATTGTACATTTAACATTTAAAAGTATAATATAGTATGTTATTTTTATTTTTATTTTAATGCATAATGCTATTTAAAATGTTAAATCTATTTAAAATGTAATGCATAATGCCCCGATGTAATGTATAATACTATTTGAAATGTTAAATCCACATTTTGTCATAATTATTAAGCTTCAAAAGTTGTAAAAGTAAATTTTAAAAAAATAATAATAATCAGAAAATATAAAAGCTGTAATGATTACGGCCTCGTTCATTTCACTGATTTGAGTTTTCAGTTTTAGATTTCTACAGTAAAAAGCTCTCAGAAAATGACAAATCTAACTTTTTCTACTACAGTGAAAAGCTCTAAGAAAATGTCACATCTCAGCTCGAATTGAAAACTCGCATCTGCGAAATGAACGAGGCCTACATGAAAATGTAAACATTTCAACCATTAGCAATCAAATGTCAAATTTCTTATATGCTATTCTTGGTGCGAAATTTACAATAAAATATATTATATGAGAAATTTAACACAATAAATGGCATTGTATTAAAATGTATTTTTTTACACTCTGTTAAATTTATAATTGACACATTAATTATAACATTGCATTGGAGATGTTCTAGATAAAAACATCAAATTTCGGATTTACTGATGTTGTACTAATTTATTGATAATTCCTGTCATTTTTCTTTATTCCGCCCAAAATTGCTACACACGACCTTCTCCACAAATTTTTTTTTTTTTTTTAAATGTCCTCATACATATATACATACACCTAAGACATGATTGGGATTCTCATTCATTGTATAATTTATTGAAAAATAAAAAATAAAAATCCTTACATCATTCTTCTGACTTATTTATCTAATAATTGTCATATGGCTGATGCAATACCCACTAAAAGGAAAAAAGAAATAGCACTCTATTGCAACTTCTCAATTTAACGCTTTTTTAGTAAATTTGATCTTTTGCATCTAAGCAAATTTATCATAGAAATTTAAAAGTTCGTAAAAAGAAAAAAAAAATGTGAGAGAAAAATAATTCTTTTGTTGCAAGCATGTAAAAGTCTAAACGACACCATTGTGCACGTTGCCACCAAACAAAATAATAATAATAATAATAATAATAATAATAATAATCTTTCGGAAAGATGAGTGTAATAAGTGAGCTCCTAAAATAAAAAAAATAAAAAAAATAAAAAAATAAAAAGCGTGAGCTCTCCTCTAATCCTACGACAACTTCAGAGTGTGTCGTATTTTATGACATTAAGCGTAGCTCCGGTTCTCTCGACTCCCAGAACCCTAAAACCTATTATTTATATATCTCCTCATTTCTCAACTCTTAAGCTGTGAACCCTAAGTGCCGAATACTCAAAGTGCAAAACAGTTTGGTCTTTCTTCAACAATTTATGGAGGCTAAATCGCTTGAAGACGAAGACGAAGACAAGTGGCTTATTTTTGGTCCATGACTCCAATATGTGTCTTCAAGTTCAACTACAAATGATGCTTTTTGAGGTATATGATACTTTGACACTTATGTATTCTTTTAAAAATTTTGGTATTAATGTTTTTTTTTTTTTTTTTTGGTCTGGTGTAAACAAATATTGGCTATTAGTCTTCGTTATATATTTTTTGATTACATTTTTCTTTTTCTTTATAATCGTGTTGTTGCATGGAGAAATTGGCTAAAATAACCAAAGTAAGAAAGTGAAATTAGGGATATGACTATATAACGAAGACTAACGGCTTATACATAATATACGCATTTTTACCTGTTCTGTTTCCTAAAATTTAGCAATATGTTTCATCCTAGCACAGGGGAGTAGGCTTGATTCTTTAGAATGACATTGTTCAAATTTTTAGAAGTTTAGAATAGAAGTTTGTGGAGTTGGTGAAAATCAGTTTGGAATTTGCTTCATTTGATATCAGGAAAAAGAAAGCTTTGAAGAAGAAATTAAATCTCATGAGATTGATGAAATATTGATGAAAAAGAGCTCGCTTGGTGTTACCGTAGATGATGTTGCTAAAAGTCTTCAAGAGTTGGACAGAGAAAAAGTCAGAATCAAGAATAGATCATTGGCAGTTGTATACATGCTAGTTGGGTTTAAACATGCCGTTGACCTCAAATTCTTTTATCACTATCTCTGTGGAATTAAATGTTATGATTTGAGACTCACAGCCTAAAAAAGATAAACTTCGCTATAGAATTTTTGCCAACCCATGTCCCGAATAACTTTAGTGATTTCCGGCGGCAATCCCTCGTATCTTGTTTCGAATCCCCTCTCTATGCAGCCCCGATTCTTGTTGCGTCTTTCATACTATTTTTCTGCGTCTTTCGATACAAACTGAGTGTTGTCGTAATCGAGAGGAGGTACTGCTGGGGCATGGAGTTCTACCGGTGTAGGGATAGGTGGGCGGTTGCTGGAGCTCGCAGCGACCTTGATCCGGTTAGCATTCACCTTCCGCGGCTGTCAAGAAAATAAGAGAGGTCATGAAAAGTATAACCTTTTCGGATGCCCGTGGATATTTCAGGTAAAGTTTTCACTCTAAACTAATCTATTTTTTTCTAGTTAAATATAATTTATTATTTGGTTGTTTTAGTAATGTCGCTATATTTTTCATTCCAAGTATAAGCTTTTAAGGCTATGCCCGAGTCGGGAATGAGGCTAGCCAATTTTGAAGATTGAGGTCAATATATTCCACGGTGGTTTTATTGACAGTTTTAGGAAACTACTAGGGCAACCTTGTGGCGTCCATGTTTGGAGTTCATGAGGTCGGCCGAGGTAGTTGTAACTTACACTTTATAGTTTTAGATTTAGTTTTATCATTTTTGGTCTAACAGCTTATAATCTTTTCAGTTTATTGTGCGACCTACTTTAGCTCCTTCGGTGGGGGAGAGAGAACATGACTATTATAAACATCTCGGTTGGTGTGAGGATCTTGTGGATCTTCTCAGGCTAGTTGGGTTTTTGATGGCTAGAGACCCGAAGAAGCATATTAACTCATCTTGGCTCAAGTATGCCGTTGACCTCAAATTCTTTGATCAGCATCCCTATGGAATTGAAACGTTAAGATTTGACGCTCACAAGCCTAAAGAAGATAAACTTTGCGGAAATGTAGGAGTAAAGGTGTTAAGCGAACAAGAGAGGTCGTGAAAAGTATAACCTTTTCGGATGCCCGTAAATATTTCAGGTAATGTTTTCACTTTAAGCTAATCTTTTTTTTTTGTAGTTAAATATAATTATTATTTTGTTATTTTAGTAATGTCGCTATATTTTTCATTCCAGACATAGGCTTTTGAGGCTATGCCCGAGTCGGGAAGGAGGCTAGCTAATTTTGAAGATTGAGGTCAACATATTCCCCAATGGTTTCATTGATTGTTTTAGTAAACTACTAGGGCAACCTTGTGGCGTCCGTGTTTGGAGTTCATGAGGTCGGCCGAGGTAGTTGTAAGTTACACTTTCTAGTTTTAGATTTAGTTTTATTGTTTATGTTTTCTAACAGCTTATACTCTTTTCATTTCTTTTTAATTTATTGTGCGACCTACTTTGGCTCCTTCAGCAGAGGAGAGTGAATATGACTATTATCAACGTCTTGGTAGGTGTGAGGATATTGTGGATCTTCTCGGGCGTAAGGGAAAGATAAAAAGAAGCATTCGAGCTAGTTCAAAATATGCCTTTGAAACCTAATATATGTCTCGCCGTCTCTTTGAGCTGGGTCCCTTGGTTGCAGCTCCATTCGTGGAGATGGCAAAAATATATGCGTCGGATGGAAAGTGGGACGGAGTTGCGGCAATAAGAAAAATGGTGAAATGTAACAATGTGAAGAAATCTGTAGGTAAAAACATTGTCCAAGTGAATGGGAAGCATCATATTTCTGCATTTGAAGCATCATGTTTCTGCAGTTGAAGATAAGGGTCATTCTGAAAGTTTTGTGTATATATGAAATGTCGGATAGTTTGATGTTGCTGCTGAAAGGAGAATCATCAGAATCCGAGTTAAATCTGGAACATGAATTAGCATGAAGTTATTGCAAGATTAGGTAGGAAATATAGAAACTACAAAACAATAAAGATGAAACACCTAAAATCAATTCAGAAAAATAAGTTGAGGAAATAATATATTATTCTCAGCTATCTCACACATTCTGGTTTGACAATCAATTTTAGGATTGTCGGATGGTTATAAAAGTATTCAATGGAACCAAATAAGATGAGAAATCTGACAATATACGGGACATTTTGCACTGTGCTCCATGTTGGATTCTCAATTACTTTTTTTTTTTTTGGTTGTCCTTTTTGTTCATATATGTGTTGAAGACAATCCTTCACGATAACTAAAATCTAATGAATTATATGTACAAATAGTGTTAATAAATGACATAACGAAAGAATAAACAGCTGCATTTACATTGTAAAAGGCATGTGGTCTCCTAACTGTTTACATTTTTCTAGTGGCGAGAAGGTGGTTTCCCTTATATAAATATATATATATATATATATATATATATGTATTATATATAATGGGGCCAAGGCTTGTATTTTTGCCGGCCGGGCTCTCTCGACACTCTAAAAGGGTCAAGGCTAAGCCTCATATATTAAGCTCGTGACATAGGTACGGCCCAGGCCCGTGAAACACCCAGACACCTCATAAAACTTTGTATTTTTTTATTAAGATTAGAAAAAAAAGTAATAACAAAAAATGTGAACTATGGGAGCCTTGAATCTAAAAATGTCTATTATTATATTATATTACAAAAATATCTAATACATTTAATAAGACATGTAAAATATTGGGTATGCCCTTGCAGTTTATTTTGGGTATGTCCCATATATGGTGAATTTTTGTATTTTATGCACTGATTTTATATGATAACATATTACGCGTTGATTTTCCTTTCTAATCCTAATTAACATTTTGTTTTTTTTTTGGCATATGATAACGTATTTCAATAAAATTACATCTTTTTGGGCATATGATATCACTTTTTTTTTCTTTGTCATTAAATTTAAAATTATTTTAAAAAATAATAAAAATTAGATTTTAAAAGGGCCGGCTCAGGCCTTTAGTATGGTCGACCCAATAGGGCCCGAGCCTAGACCCGGCCTTGACCCTAAAGGACAAGTGCCTGGGCTAAGGTTGGGCCTGAGGATCTCTCCCTAGGCTTGGCCTTTTACTGTAGAGGGTTGTGCCTGCCCGGGCCCGTCATGGGCCAGGGATCCGGCCCGGCCCTTATGAGAGCTCTAGTTTCCCTTATAGTTTTTGTTTTGTTTTTTTACTTTTTGATATGAAGGTGGTTTCCCTTATAGTTGGGTTTGTTTGAATGACGTCTTCTCTTAAAGCATAAAAACAAGTTTAATAACTAAAAAGTAAAAAAATACTGGGTAAATGGAAAATCGGTAATATTGGTAAAAAGTTCTAAGAGTAAATTGTGGAATTTATCAAAATTAGTCTTGGGATTTACTAAATTTCGCAATGGAGTAATCCGTTGTTTTTTTTGCAAATTGTTACGTGAGATAAATATGGTAAATTCTGAATGCATTGATGTTTACTAATTCATCTATAATTCCTTCATTTTTCTTTATTCCGCCTAGAAAAATGTTATTTTTTTTAAAAGAGAAAAATCTTATTTACGACCTTCTCCAAAAGAATTTTTTTAGCCAAAAAAAAAAAAAAACCTCATAAACAGACACCCAGGACGATTTTCATTGTCCTTAACATCCTTCTGACTCACTTGCGTAACAATTGCCTGATGCAATGCCAAATAAAAAAAAAATGTAGCTCTGCATTGAAACTTCTCAATTTAAACTTTTTCTTTAGTTTTATTGCATCCAAGCAAATTTGAACTAAAATTTAACAATTTTTTTAACCAAAAAATAAAAAATAAAAAATAAAAACAGTGAAAAAGAAAAAATAATTCTTTGTTTCGTGTGTAAAAGTCTAAACAACGCGTTGCGCATGTCACCACAAAAATTCTTTTTTTTTTCCTTTTAGAAATATAACCATAAGAAGTGAGCAAAAAAAAAAAAAGTGTATGAGCTCTCTATGACAAGTTCCAAGTGTGTCGTATTTTGCGACATTAACGTATGCGCTTATCTCTAGGCTTAAAACGTAAAACGTAAAACAAATTATTTATATCTCCTTATTTCTCAGCTAAACTCTAGGGCTCTAAGGCTCCGTTTGGTTAGAAGGATAGAAAAAATTATAGTAATCTTATATGTTGTTTAATGAGAGAGATAGAGAGTTAAAAGAATGAATGAATGGATATTTATTTAATTACATTTTTGTCATTTTTACCAATTTCATACTAAGGCTCCGTTTCATAAGAGGAATGGAGAGAGTTGGGGATATGGAGAATGTTAGGAATAGAGAGGATTATAGTTATTCTTTGTGTTGTTTAGTAGGAGAGAATGAAAGTTAAAATGATGGATGAATAAATATTTGTTTAATTACTTTTTTGTCTTTTTTATTAATTTCATACTAATTTTTTTAAGGACTAAATGGTCTTTTCAAATCTTTAATAGTTAGATTGTATGGATCTTTCCATTAGAAGAGGAAAGCAAAATGGTGGGCCCGAGTAGAGAGAGCCTACCTCTATCTATCCCTCCAACCAAACAAGAGAATAGGAGTATGTTCATTTTACAACTCAAATCATAATTTGAGTTATGATTTAAGTTGTGTATATGAAAGAAAAATACTGTCATAAAAAAATTGATTTTAAATTTTTGAATGAGAAAATACTATAATAATAAAATTAGAGTTGTAAAAAGAACAAGGCCTAGGGCTCCCCCTCCCTCTATCTCTTCATCTTTCCTCAAATGTTTGATACTCAATTTGCTGCTAAGAAGACACGTTGAAGTTTCTGATGACGTGATCATGATGAGTCTTCTCATATTGACGAGGAAGAAGAAGAAGAATTGAAAGACCAGAATAATGAGTGTGAAAAAGAAGAATTGAAGTAACAGACTAAGGAGAAAGGACCAAAATAATAAGGAGTTTGTACAAGATGAGATTCATTTGCAGGAAACTGCGCAGAAGGCTGAGAAAGAAAAAGATAAGAAGAGAGAGGATGAGAGCTTGATTGAGAATGATCTTGTCGGTGATGATTCTGATCAGGAAATTGAAAAAACTATCGCTTTAGTTTTGAAGGATTTTGGGGGTACAAAATTGCATGGTCCTAAGCAGGTGAGTCCAAGTTTTTCCTACATTATACTTTGTTTACTTTTTTATGTTGTTTTTTTCTTAATATGTTTTCATATTTGTCAAAATATAGTATATATTTTGTCGAATTGAGGAATAATCAGATAGATTGTGTGATTATGCAGATTACTCCTTAAAATATACTAGATTATATGCTACAGTCTGTCAAATTATAAAAAATAATCTGATAGATTAATATGACATTGTTTATATTATGGTTCATAATATGATAAATTGTGATATAGTCTGCGAGATTATAACTGATAATCTGTTCCATTATTGGCAATAAACCTTTCAGAATGAGCATTTTTTTGCTTGTTTTTGTTAATTTATTAATTATCATGTGATTTTTACGAACAAGTAAATTTGTCCTCTTTGAACATAGACGAGAATATCGAGGTTGATGGTCATGTTGAAGACATTTCTAACATTGAGGATGATGCTGATGATGACATTGAGGAGTGTATTGGGGTTGATGATGAAGATTTTACACCAGTTAACCAGAGGATCGTTATGTATGATGAGGTGTTTGTAAAGGTGTCAAAAGGGCCATGCCCCCGTCACGGGCTTGGGCCGCCCCAAGGACAACCCTCTACAGTAGAGGGTCGAGCTTGTGCCGGGCATAAGGGGAGACCTTCAGGCCCAACCCTAGCTCCCGGCCCTACTAATAGTCTTATAGGACCTTCATAGGGCCGGGCCTTTAGGATTTTATTGGGCCGGCCCTACTAATGGCCATGTAGGACCTTCATAGGGCCGGCCCTACTAAAGGCCCTGTTCAACGGTCCAATTTATGGCCGTTGAGCAGGCACCAGTCGACCGGTGGCTTACAACTTCTCTGCTACCGGATTACACTAGATTCCCCTCAAAACTCAATTTTAACTTAATTTTCTTAATGCACTTAAGTTTCACTCATGATTAACAATTTTTTTAGGATTTTTTATAATTTCATATTTGATGACAAAAAAAAGTAATATATTATATGCCCCTAAAAAAATGTGATTTTGTTAAAATAATATGAATAATTACAAGAAAATGATTGGTTGATTGGACAGCATAGGTCGACCGGTTGACACTAAAATGCCTCAAACCTCATTAAAATTGCATATCGCGGGCACAGGCCTTCGCTGGTCGTGCTTGGCCCTTCGTGGGCCTGGGCCGTGTCTGGGGTTTGGGGCTCAAACATGAGGCCCAGCCTAAGCCCTTTTGGCATGTTGGGCCAGGCCGGCCCATAACAGTACACGGTTGGGTCGTGCCGACTTGACCACTGTAGTGTGCTGGGCTGGGCCGTTCATGGATGACCCAGCCTAATTGACACCTCTAGGTGTTTGCAATGTAAAAATTTAAAAATATAATTTTATAATTTAACATTTTATAAAATTTAACAAAAAAGATATAAAAAAATTTAACATTTTATAATTTTATATATAAAAAAATATAATGAATTAAATACCACATGCGTAGCACGTGAGTAATCCTCTCCCCATTGCTACAGGCCCATTGCAATTGTCCCTTCCGCGGTCCAAATATCTCATAACCCTAATATAAATTTACGTGTCCTTCGTTTCTGACTTTCTCAGTGTAAACCGCAAGTGCCGGTTACTCCCAAGTGCAAAACACTTCCTTTCAACTCTCCAGTCTCCGGGCATGTTTACTTATCAAGAGTAGGGAATGAGAATTGGGATTTAAAATTAACTCTATGTTTACTTACCTATTTATATCCTAGAATAGGAGTGAGAATGTGTGGGTCCCACACCAATTTGGGATTGAGGAATGGGATTGGCACTCCCCCCACCTCTTACCAGATTACCACTCTTAATCCTGATATTAAATATAAAATTACGAATTTACCCTTAATTTTTCTCTTTTATTTAACTCTCTAGGGTTTATTTTCCTCTTTCTCTCTCAGCCATTTACCATCCCCTCTTCTGCCGTGGTTCTTCAATTTGCAGGTAAGCCATAAATCATCCTCTATTTTTGTTTTCGTTTTGCCTTTTTTTTTTTTTGTTGAAGACGTAGTTTTGTTGTTCCTTTCCACGTTGATAATGCTTCTAGCTTTTCAGTTTTTTTTTCCCTTCTAGAGTACTAGAACAGCAAAACT